CTCGCTCTTCGAATCTCCAAGTGTATACGACTACTCTGCTAACTTTAAGGTTACTCAGTTGGCAGGGTACTCCAGGAGAACCTGACTACCGGGGTATTTAGGTCGTTGGATACCAAGATACCTTCAACTTTTCTTCGTCGAGTGTCATTCGTGAACTTGGATATCCGAATACTCGCATGATCGAATGTCTTAAAGGGATATCGTGGAGGATTACATAAACGAAAGCACTGGATCGGATTTTATTAGAGTTTATTATGCACGAGGAAGGATGGGGGCTAAGAATACCGTATCACTTTTGGAAAATGTCCTGATCCGTACTTTGATCGTCAACGAACTAGCTGCACTTTTCCCAGCCCTAGACCACGCATAAACACATAAACTGGGCCCATTGACTTGGGACCCTTGACATATTACATCAGCTAATGCTCCTTCGTATTCTTTACAAAAAAGTATTAACCTATTTATATCAAAATATGCTAATTATGTTAAAAACTAGTTGTTTTACTATTACAACCCATAATTCTAATAATATATATAATAATACTTAGGTGCATACTCGGTTACTTGAATATTCGAATATATATTCGCGTTCTTGTAGATAAACGGCAGATTTCCTACTCCGATTCGCGGCTATTTGAATTTCAACGTAATCGCATAAAGAACGGATTTATCTTCCAGCTCCTGTCCATGGAACTACGTAAACACTCGAATCGATGAACTACATTCATATTTGAAATGCAGACGAAATCGAAGAAATGCAATATTCTCGTGAAGAACTAGAAACACGACTTGTACCCCGTGGTACATTCCCGCGCAAGTATATCCCTAGCAAGCATGTTAAGGTCAAATGAGGTCTCGACTGTAAGCTCGCGATGCGGCTCGCAATGAACGCGAAACAGTGCCATCGACGGAACGCAATTTAAATTTTCTTAGAACAGTCTTTTCCATTATTCACCGCCTTTTTTCGCGATGCCAGGCGTGTATAAAGTGTGGAAGCATCCGCCAACTAGGAACACTACCAAAACGAAGCAACCCTTGGAAAAGCAGCGATCGATTCGCCATTTTTCCCGAATTTAGTTCTGTCATTCGGTCAACAGCATCGATAGAGGGTTGCAACTTCGATATTTCTCGATCACAATGAATTCTCGAGGTATATTCTGAAAATCTGGGAAAACTTCTCCGCGAGCAAAGTTGGTTCACCATCCGCGAACGTTCCGTTGGAAAACATAGTCCTCCGACATCCCCCCATATCGAATTTTCTACTACACGTCAATCGAGACGTAGAATAAACAGCAATAAGTACAATTACAAAGCCGACAGGTAACATCGCGATCGATCGAATTTTTCCGAAGGCAAACTCGTCCGGTTGCTCGATTTGTAAACATACCAGTCGGGTCGCCATATTTCTCTCTATATTTTTTACGTTCCTGAATATTCCAGCAATTGCATCGAGAAATATGGATAATGCAGACAGATATTCGATAAAATCGAGACAAGTAAAATACATGGAGAAATTCGCTGCTCGACTTGATTAACTGCCGCGATTATTTACAGCGACGCATGGCGAGAAGGAAATCAGAAAAATGCACCGTCGAGTGACCGACTTTGCATCTAGCCTCCACGAGGATCGAAAATTATTCGAAGACCAAGTTGGTGCGATAAATTTTCCACGTATACATCGATGCGCCGCGTATTTGATCGAGATATACTACTGATAACTTGTGCCCCCTGCGCGCCTTCTTCCAATTTACAGGATTAGAAGAGTAAATTAGGATAGAAGGGGTAAATCCTTCCACTCGATCCACCCTGAGACAATTTCACGTCCCGTGCATCTGCCAGTTCCGTATCTCCTATATTCGAAATTCAAACACCCCTACTCTGTTCTTCGGCCGTGTCGCTCCGATTACGCGCGTTCGTCAAGATCCATCGCGGATGGAGCCGGGTTTCGTCTCGGTCCACCGAAACGGAACGGCTGCGTATAAAATTTCCTGTAACTCGACTCGCTCCGGCGACGCCACTGCATTTTTATCGCGCGTCTTCGATCCTCGCGAGAGATTTTATCGGCACAGCCCATGGGGAACTCTTCTCGAGTGCATTTGCGAGCCGATGATTGCTTCTTGCCGGTATCATGTTCGACGAGCAACCAGTTTCACCCGCACCCACCTCGTGGAGCCTGGCGGAGAGGTGGAGGTGGAAAATAAGCAAGGGTATAAAGAGCCGTAGCTCGGATGTTGTCCTTTTGCTCCTGTTCCCGTGACGGGAACGAAAAGGAGGAAAGCAAGAGCAAAAGAGAAACGGGAGCAAACAAGAAGACGGAACGAGCGAAATTCGTTCATTTGGCGGAAGGCACGTCTCGCCTGTCGTGCTCGAAAATACATAATTCACCTTTGTTTACGGACGGGACTGAATCGATCGATCGTTAATCCATTTTCTTCTTCCCATTGCCTATTGTTCCGAGCGACCGGAGAATTACGTCCCTCGAATGCAGCAACTCGAGAATTAACGCGCCCTTCCACCCTTGCTTCCGGCCCAAGCGACGATTTTCTTCCGCGCGTTTCAATACGTTCGAATACATCCGAATACATCGGCGACGACGACACTGCCGTCGTGAATCATTAACGTTACAACGGCCATTCGTCGATAAGCCTTTCGTCTGCCTTTTTCATCCCCCTTGCCCGAAATGAGCGGTCTTTTGCGCCCCGTCAATGAGTTTAGCGTAACTGGCTTACTCGAGACAATGGAATAAGGCGGTCGTGCTGGAAACAATTTTTCCTTCAGGTTCGCTTAGTCCAATGAATTACCGTCCCTATCTTGGAAAGATTAAATCGAATATCGAGCAAAGGACGAATCGGTTAAGTACAGCGGACTAGGGGACTCCCGGGAAAAGAAGTACGGCTGCGGTGCCCACGGATTATTATCCGGAATTAACCGACTATTCTTCAACGACCGTCAAAGAAACGCATCCAGCAGTTATATCGATAGTAAAACTTTTTCAAAATATACGCGCTATTTCGAGATAAGCGCGATATGACCCGACGCAGTTTCTATCCCAAATGATCCCTCGTGTAACACGATAAATTCTCTGACGAATAAACCGACAGTGAAATTCCATTCATTTTCGTCCTATCGTTAACTTCAAAACAATCCCTTTGCGATGGACACGTGAAATCCCAATTTCATCGAAATCCAACTTCGTGAATGGAAATCTACAATGACGAATGGACTTTATGCCCGTCGATGAATTCGAAATTCGTAACAATTACATCGCGATACAGGTGACCCGGCTGTTCGCCACGTTTCTACCTCTGTGCCAGCGTTATTGTTACGCGGAAATATTTCTAGGCCCGAAGCCAGCCGTTCGTTAATCAGCTTAGCACGCATCCGTGATGTCTAAAGGGCAGTAACTGACCGTAATATTAATTGCTTTCTAGCTATTAGCAAATGGGCCCACGGAGATCTCGCAAAGGGAGCGGCGTCCCTGCGCGACCGTTTGCTATTAACGTTAACGCAACACTCCACTGCTATGTGCCACGCGACGCGCTGCGCGCGAGCAGGCGTTTAAATCGCGCGCGCAACTAGCACCGAAAACGCAGCGCCCATTGTTTGCCGCGAACTACGCATACAGGGCCGTAACTGAAAGTTGAACCTAACTCGAGACACGCGCCCCCCCTCTCTAATCTCCCGCCCCGATAACCCCCAGGGTTCCGTCCAGGCTATGGTCTCATTAGGGCACCATCCATCTTGTCATACGAATGGCGATAGATTTCCCGAGTTCGATAGATTTAATAGATTTATTCTCGAAACAACTTTTTTGATTGTATACCGAACTGAACTTGTCATTTTGTTTTATTCCATCCTTTTTTGATGTATAACTACGTAATTTTATATTACGTAGTGTTATTTAGCTGAAATGTGTAGGTTAGAATACGTTATTGGTTATATACGCAAATATTGAAACACAGTCAAATTATTAACAGCTTTCGCAAAGTAGCTTTTCCAGCTCGAACTAGTAATAAAATATTAAAAGCTGCTCGGACTACTTATGAAGGATTAAGTCTTTCCTTTTACATGCACCTACCGTCGTCTACCTTCGTCTACCTTCTTCACCGACTAGCCCTGAGAATTGAACGAACATAACCAAAAATGTGGTTCTATCTTAATAGAATAACGATTAAAGGTAATACAGAATCATATCGAGCGATAAAACAGATCAAGAAGTAAAAATTGACGAGACGAGCGATGGTTCGAATATTACATATTTTTCGTTTTGTGACAAATGCGTATTAATGATCACGGCGGCGTGTATCAGTACATTGTTACTGCGTCGATAAACAACCGTTTGTCGCGAACGACACCGCCACGCGGAAGAATCAATCCGTATGAAAATGTTCGGAGATTCGAAACGTGCGCCGGACAAACACTTTTCGCGTGAAACTATTTGCAATTACAGCCCGGAGGTGGCATTTGCGTATTCAAAATAGTTTCGAAAATTTGCTAATGCATTCGAGTCGACTTTGTCAATACGGATTCATTTGCCTGCCGACAAAACACTGTACGCAAATATACGAACGTTAATTAAGTTTCGATTCGGCGGTATACACGCGGATATATGCGTTATAAAAATGTTACCGATTGGAAAGCCGCGTTGACAAATGGATCGGTAATGGCGGGACGCAAGGTAAATTCTGAGAGCTGCGTTCCGATGAAATGGAAATAAATTCTTAAATGTAATACAAATGTATTTATCTTATCGAAACTTCTACCGAGAGCAATTTCTATGATAATTACCAATGAATCAGTACATCGTACATTACCAACGTCTTATATGGTAAATTATTTGATAAACTATCGCGATCAATTATCGACAAACGCTAAATATAAATAGAAAGAAAACGAAGATACCGATCAGAAAGATGGCCGTTCCCTCTTAATTGATCGATGAAAATCAAAGATGTCGACACCGGTATCGAACTCTGATAAATATGGTCGATAACACTTACCTTGAAAGGCAGCCTCGAATGTAGTCTTCTCCTCAACAGGGTTCTGGGCGAGCACTAAGACGACCGCCAGATGAACAAGGATCACGAAAAACCGACAAACACGAAGTTCAGCCATCGTCTTGCGATGTACATGCACGCGATTGCCCCAACAGTGTTCACTTTCGCATTTCTAGCAGAACTAACCAACTTCTCGATCGACTATCGATTATCGCGAGTTCACCGTCGCGTGGAGCGCACACTGAATCCGCGTCGAGTTCGGTCGACGACACTTCTCCCCGATTTAACGGTCGATTCTACAAATGGGAAAACGCGTATGATGAGCACTGCGAGAACACTAGGTCGCGCAAAACACTTTATTTCTTTTCTTTTTCTCTCGCGAACAATATGAAGGCACTCGGTCAAGTGTCTCGAAACACGAGCATACGACCGAAACTCTCTGAAGGAACAACTATATAAGGTCGTGTCAAGAAGACGTATACCACATCGAGTATATTATAACGATATCACGACCCCGACGCAAAAAGTGGACAATTGTCTGCCTCCCCCACCATCAACGCGTGTATATATCGAAACATGCCGGTCCAGCTACTCGAACGTATATATATATATTGTATGCAGCACGATCGCGTATATAGTTTTAATCAGTTCTTCTTTCGTACTCATCGACCTCTATTGACAAAGAACTTTTTACACGTTGCTTTATAATTTAATATCCAATTGTGCACGCAATGAGATCCTTTACTGATATTTACCGTACTTATTACGCGTCGCAAGTGACCGTCTACATTTGCTTCGTGATATCCGATCGATTCACTGGGCGCCATTTGTATATCGATATCGATATATTATATATATATATCTATCGATATGTCAATATATCGATATATTGATATATCGATATGCACATCTTATAACGAAACGGTTGGAAAAGAAATTTTTATAAAAAAAAGGATAAAATGGAAAGAAATACATACGATAAATGTAATTCAAAAATTGAATTTCGAATTGAAATTATTCGAAAAATATTTACGTTCATATTTCGAAATACGATATATAATTTAAAGCAGATATAAAGATAAAAATAAATAGCTATGAAAACGTCTAATTCAACGATTAACTGTTGTTTACTTACATTCGTTATTGCAAATTTTACAATCACGTATTTTGAAAAGAACGCATTAATAAACGAGAAATTCAAACAACGCAACTTTCGCGGCAACGGCTCGTAACAGACGCGGTTTCTCCCGAAAAGAAACTAGGAACTATTTTCATTCAACACGGTTCTTCTTGACACTACCGGGTGAGTTAAGCTCGACCGTCAACTATCGACTGTGGCGAGTCGACGTTAAACTCTCTACCTTCCTTAATCTTCATAAAGTTCAACGACCACAGTCGAACTGCTTGAAACCATAGCTATGTCACATGAACCGAAACTATGCAAATAAGAACAGCAACGCCACGGCAAATAGCCGCTTAAACGTTTCAAATCGGAGAAAGTATTAAACACGTAATAATCGCATATACACCACTTATCTCGATATAATTTTGATTATAAAACTAATTTAACACCGAAATGACGATCTATTAAGGACGCTCTCGAAAGAAACGTTTCGCCGCGATAGGAAGGTAGAGGAGACCGATAGAAAAAGAACAGAGAAAAGTAACAACCGGAAACATTCGTTTAGTCGTCGTACCTGTCAGGAATGGTCTCACGGTCGTTGTTCGAGACAAAAGAAAGAAATATATGGTAGCTAAAGAGACTTTATCACACACGCGAACCCGAAGGAGAAAGGAGCTCCGCAACAGCCGTCGACGCCGGCCGGTGTCTCCAATCGAACTGCGGGGGTTGGTCGACGGTGGCGCCGCCGAGGGACGCCGAGCGTCGCCGTGTGGCATGCGTCATAACGCCACCGCCTTCGATCGGCCGCCATTTTTTTTTTGAAGCACGTTACTAACCCCTTGAAAACATTCCACCCCAAACGCTGTTTCCCGATCGGAGCTCAGGACCGTATACTTTACGGGAGGCAAAAAAAATCGGTTGGAAGCTACATCATTTCAAATATAATACATTGAAGAGAAATGTTTTACGGAACTGTTATTCTTGCGACATGCAAAGCTCTTTTATGCAATGGATATACGTCAATACCTATCATCAATGTAAAATGATGTTAGAATTGATTGTTAATTTTTTATATAAAAATTTAATTAACAGAAAGTAAGGTACTTACGTACATGAATCATGAACCTACCCGAAGCTGGCAAATTGTATAATATTCGATTAAAGCAGAATGAATAGATCGATGCACATGTTTATATATCAATTATACAGCTAGTCTATTCAAACGTATTATAATGCACTTAACAAGGCATATCAACAGGCAAAATACGCAGTTAACAAACTAGCCGAATGATAGTTAGAATATAAAGAATGTTAGAATATACAAGGATCTTTCTTTGAACGATAGTTTCTATCTAAAAGGCAACAAAAGAGGCTCAAAATAATGACAAGACTTTTAATATAAAAGAAATAAATACCGGTAGCGTATTTAAATTGCTACTTTCACTTATCGTTTAAGTTAATACAAATTTCATTTAAACCTATTATTAACGGCCTCCTGCAGTTAATCAGATTTAACCACCACCTTATTCTCTATAGGGCCTTAACGATAAATGAATAACCTTTCTTATAGAAAACTCAAAGCCACGAAATCCAAAGCGAGTATAGAGATATTAAATTATAGTGATGAAAAAGATTAAACAAAATTACACATTCTAAGAAATACTGGAAGTATTGTTATGTACATATACGTACATAAAATATTGCTATTTGCATCCATTTGTACATAAATTCAAATGAGTATTTTCAATGAATTATATTATGTTTTATACAATATACGATTCTGTATATATTTTTATTTATTAACAATCAATAACATACCGAAGAACACTATTATACCGATTACTTAAGCGCAATTCCATAATACTTTCACAAACACATGTCTGCACTCATGTATAGAACAACACTTATCGTAATAAAAAATAAATCTAGACACGTGTAAAAATCGAAAATATGTTATAAAAGCTAATACTGTAAACGTTACATTATAAATATGGATAACTTGCATTATATCTTACCGGTGAAGAGAAACATAAACATAAAAGCACCTTACAGACATAACTCTTGAAGAGCTTCTAACAACGAAATCTATGCTGCGAATAATATCGCAAATATAAACAAACTAATGCCTTTTTTCTTGTAAAAAAAAATAAAATATTCTTTTATACTTTAAGTTACACTCTTATTTTGGACGGACGTTTGTACGAATAATTTCTGCGAACATTTATTCAATTGGAACAATTGAAAAACAAAAAGTCAGTCTACCAAGTAAGAAGAAGCGAAGATTGAAAATATACAAACATATTTGGAATCACTGGAAGAAATTATCAAATCAATATGCACACTCTATCGCTCGTAATACGATAATTAATTCCATTTGTTTCTACTATAACTGCAAACTATTTATCAACGTTTGATGTATCAAGTAATATATATGTATATATATATATATGTATTATCATATAATTCACACTTTGATGTTGTCCCTGTAAACGATAATTTATCTCGATTCAGTACTCATTTACATATAAACAGTCACTTGAGAATATATTGTACGCAAAGTAGTTCGAAACTTATCGCAATGATATCTCTGACACAACAACGTGCACCACGCGTGATCAGATGATGCAAATCTCTCGTTTAGGTTGCCGTTAAGTGGCAACTTAATAACTTTTAATAGTGTTTGTGAAGGTAACCCATGTGTCCTCTATAGGCGCCAATACAGTGATTACAATCAAAGCCACAGTGAATAGGACGATCACGACGAAATATATGCCAAAGATAAATTTCCTGATCCCAGCATGCTATAGAACAGAATGAGAAACGAGATACTAAAGATTTTCAGAGATTCCCAGCGCAATACGCCGATTATTATTAGTAAGAAACTTACAGGAGCATCCTGTCTTGCATCCGGATGGACCATTGAACCACGAGAGTGCATGTCTTTCATTGGAAATGAATTCACCCTCTGACTTGCCTGTCTGTCAGAGGCACATCCAACGAACTATAACACATATCGATTTTCTTCGTTATATAGTAATACTCTATAAATAGTTGACTTGATACTGAAACTGATCTACATTTGAAATTTCGGTTGTCTCGAATTCGCGCTCATAATTAAAGAGATTTTCCACAGTGATCTATATAGGCAAACATAAAGTGTATGAGATATGATATAGAACTACTGATTGCATATGGTATCAAAGAGAAGTTGGATTAATTTCTCTAAAATATTAATAATCACTAGTAAATGATGAAATTTAATCTCCTTGGAAACAGCTCGAATATTTGAAGCAACGAAATACTTAATGTTAATCGAAGAACAGGAATATTACGTAATAGCCATAATTAGATGAACTCTTTTCCATTCATAAATAAACACAATTCGAAAGTGCATTAAAGATATAGCTCAATATTTTGAGAAGTTTAACGAAATTAATTGGAACGACAAATAACTAGCATCCATTAAAAAAATTAAATTGACCTCGAGACAATCTTGATGTTTAATTGTTTCTTTATGAGTCTTTGATGATCTTCTCCAATCTGTTATTTCAAGACACCCAACATACCTTTTAAGATATCCATTTAAAGATTAAGGTGCTACACCTTCTATAGATAAAATATATTAACCAGTTTTATATGAAATGCATACGTGTATAAGAATGCTTTAGAGATATCAAATATCGTCCTTACCGTCAGGATGAGATGAGTCAGAATATGGAATACCACGTAGGCGACCAGAATCCAGTCGACCCATTCCGGGAGTTTGGCCTTATTCAGTCGGACCGCGAAGAAAATTGCGATTACTGTGGAAGGAATTTCAATGTATCAGTTAATCCACTGTTCGTAAAAAAAATGTAAAAAATATGAAACATGCACAGTGTTAAAAATGAGAAAGACTTACTGCCACAAATCTGTGCTGCATTTCCAACGAACCAATGTGCCCAATTGAAAAGAGGTCTTCGAGGTGCTCCTGGATGGGGTCTCACGGCTGCCATAAATGGTTGAATAAATGCTAAGATCGTGGTGGCCAATCCCAAAGATGCATGTATCACTTCGGAACTCCATTCAGCCAACTCGGCGAATATTATTACAAATGCCGCTATCGTCATCGACCATGTCAGTATCATGAAGAATCTATGCCACTTGGATAAACAAAAATCCAAAATTAATATATTGCCATATTAATTTTGGCAATATTATCTACATTTTCGGGATTACATTTTTGTAAATTACACTTATGCGATTAACGAGATTTAGACAGTACGATATCAAGCGGAGTAGTGTAAACGATAACGATGCTCTTATAATATATGAATACTTGTACTAAACGCTAAATAAGCTTGTAACATTAATAAGTATCCTTCAGTCATCTAAGATATGCTCAATATTATCCTTGGACATGAGCCAACCTAGAGTGTTCTTCCGGAAGGTTTGGACACCTGAGTTCAACAACGTCGGATACTGCACGCTATTTTAAAAAGCAAATTAATAAATATTAGCAATATTAAAAAAAAGAAAATCCGATTATATCATAAAACCGATACCCTTAATCAATTTCCAAGTATTACGATGGCAATTTAATTCTTGTCATTTCATTATAAACGAAACAATACAAACATATTTATTATTGGAATCGTACGCCATAAAGCAAATAGTTCTCGCGACGATCGGTACACAATTTCACCCGGTGTCTCCCAATTAAAATCTGATTACGCAAAATGATTAATGCACTTGATTTAAATTGCAATCACGCGTCCATGCGTCGACTGTTAATTTTCGGAAAGAGCACACCGTGACATTATCAAATTGCCCTTCTATTCGTGGTTCCTCCGATTAACCTCGATCCCGAACTCATGAACCCACAGACAGCCGCATCGACCCGCCAAATAGGTGCCATCACACACAACCCCGGGGTCGTTAGTTCCACTGGGTCGAGATCTTACCAGTAGTCTGGTCCATGGGCGCGATTACGGGAAAAATTAGATACTTACTGCGAACCAATGGTCCTTTCCGCACAACTGCGAGCTGACCCACGTCTGCCTGTAGTACCTAGCCAGAAGAATGCCGATCGACGCGGTTCCAATCCAAGATGCCAACATCAGAGCGCCGTGGACACGAATTAAGATATTGCTTGCCGTAGTGTAACCACCAACGTCGGATAATAACTTTGAACCACCAGTCGCATCGTATACCGTGTCGTGGAATCCAATGTTATTATCTAAAAATTTCAGCAAACACCAATGTTACAAATGCATATTCGTGCGTGTATTTATAAATGGAATTAAGCAGTGACTAACTTCTTAAGCTCTTGCCAGCGGCTACGAGAAGGTTGTATGGTGTATTGACGAGGTCATACTCGCGGCCTTGAACGACAGTGGTTTTCTCTCTCCAAAATTTGCACGTTATTACGTCATCTTTGATCGAACCTGTCTCCAACTGAACGGCTCCTTCCTGCTGCAAAGGAAATCGTAAATGGATCAAGGACACGGGGTTTCTCGTAAACCGCAGATCGACGCAATCATTCCCATGAAGGACTGATCGGTAACAATGTTACACACAAGCGAAAGTCGGCCATCACCGCGGGGTTCATTGAATCAAGATCGTATTAATTTCACTTGTTCGCGACTCGCGTGCTCACGTAACGTTGGCCTCGATATTAATCACGAATAGAAGTCTCTTCTTTCATTTTAACGCTGATGCTGTAACTGTTATCTATTCAGCATATGATTTATGAAATTAGGGCAAAGTTTGGCTTTCAGATTTTCACGTTACATTGCAAGCCCACTGATTTCAGCGAACAGTCACCGAATAAAATTCATTATATCTACGACTATGCGACAGAATTTGGTATTCCGACCGTGGTTGTTTTAATATGATAAATAATGGAATACGTACCATGGGCTGGCGCATATTATGCTTTCCAGAGTTCCAAGACATGTGTAATCCAATTTCTCCTCCTTCATTTGTGCACTCGACTACACTGTCATCGCCCTGCACAACACATGAAATATTAAATAATCTCTCGAGTTATGCAAATAACATTATGCGTGTTTTCTAAGCGCATACTATAAGTCAATATAAACATTCTTACATAAGATGTGGTATAATTCAAATTATATTAAAATATAAATGACAAATGATAATTTAATTTAATTAATATTCTTCGCCATTTTATATTAAAGTACAAAGACTGGATAAAAATAGTTGCATGAAAACATTACTTTGAATAACAACGAAATTACCATTTTACTGTCATCAGATAAGCCCACAGCCACGTATTTGCTGTCACGTGCTTGTAATTCGAACAAATACCGTTCTCCACGAACGAGTACAGTGACCGCAGCGATACAATTTTTGGCCTCCACGCATCCTGCTGGGCTACCAAAGCAATTCTTCGTCGAACCGCATCCATTGTAGAAGGGATCCTCGGCATCTTTTGGCTGAAAAACAAACACGTTCAAATAAAATATGCTTCAAAAATTTCTCATCGTTCAATAACAAAAGCAATTTGCACGATATTGTACTCCAAGGTCCAAATATGAACAGAGAATTCCAAGCAACATATATACAGTTTCACCAACAGAGAAATCTCTCGTACATCAACAGAAGTTCCTCATGCCAATAAACATTGAATATCTGGTACAATCAGTGTCTATACTTTAACCTAATAAGCCGGAAGAATACAGCAGCATGATACGCTCGAACAAACAGTTAACGCAATAGAATTAGCAGCAAGCTTGATCCTTGAGCCAATAGATCCTTCAAGCACGTTTATCGTCTGGCATGAATCTGGCGGGAAACTTTCGAGAGATTTCCGAAAGATTTATTTTCATCCAAAATACCAAGATATTTCCACCGCGAGAAATCCTACACCGCGATACGTGTGTAGAGAAGCGGCTTGCGTCGCAGCCGGTTAATGGAGTAGTTTCAGTCCGCCACTCTGGAAACTCCTCAATAAAGTTTCCAAGCGAGAAACCGGCGAATTCATTCGCGTGCCGCCTTTTCTCACGTCGATCTCGTTTCGAAAGTGGACCGGTAACGAGGACGATACGCAAAAAACACGTCGACCTGTATCTTTTCATTTATCACGGGCGTCAATCACGCTGCACCGCGTATTCACAATGATACTCAAACCGAAACTGTCAACGAGTGCATTTGCACGCACGGCAGCGACATCTGCATCGTCCCAAAACGCAGTGTTAATTAACATTTCGACGCCCGCGAAATACATGTCCGACGTGCAATTGCGACGCAAATGATGATGGAAATGACAAAAGTAACAAGTAAGATACAGAACAATCGAAGTCTCGAGGAACAGGAAGCACGACGACCGGCCTTCAACTTAGACACAGTTCGCGAAACAGAATAATTGCGGCACCTGGAGCTGATTATTACCGAGCTACTAGTGTAGTTCCGACCTTTTTAGTTTCTCATTAAGTTCAGCTCGAGTTTATTTGATCGCGTCGCTAAAGAATTTTCTATATCGCGCGATATGGTAATTAGACTCGTAATTACTTTAATTGCTCATTGGATAAAGATAAGGTGCACGCGTATTGATCAGCGTGAGACAAGCTGCTCCACGGTTTCCTTTCATTCGACCGCGATAGTACGGACAACAAATGTTTCAGTCGCTCGATATCCACAGGCACATCCTGACAAAAAGAGCAGGTACACGTTTCATTCGAATGGCTTAAAATACGACTATGGTCGTTTGTCGTATGCTCTTTCGTTCCACGGCGTTTCACCGTTTCGCCATTGGCCCAGTTTAGTCCTTGGGCGCGTTGATGCGGTGAGGATAAAGTCTTGTAAAAAATAAATCGACAATGGAGAGACGTTGGTAAAAATCACGGGGCGCGGCCGGATCGTCCGATACACGAAAGTGAACGGCGAAAGTACATAGAGCATAAAACCGAGAGCGTATCCAGCCGATGGAAATTATGCATTTGTACGTGGCTAACTAGCCTGCACGCGTAATACATGCAATCGCACATCGCGAGTCGATATTCGACGAAACATGAACTTACTTTCGACTCGTAAACATACCTACACGTATCCTTCATATCGGTATACTCTTTGATTAATTACACCTACTTTTTCCACCTGCGTCCGTACACACATCTTTAATTATCGTGAAATTTCTACATCGTGAGTTCCTCTAAAAACGAATCTCAAAGGATTTCTAAAATCTCTCGGAAATTCGTTTGAAAAAGCACTCCATTACTCTACACTTTCTACTATAAAATATGTAATAATTTCAGAGTAGAAACCCTAATTCAATAGAAACTCGAATGAATCAACATGTTTTACTCCGAGTAAAACCCTCGCACTATTAAAGCTAAACCTACCATGACCGGTCATCTGACCGACCAAGTGTTCAATCATGGTTATATATGAATCTCGAAAGAAAAGATTGGAAAGCAGACAAGAGTATCGCATTATATGAAAAGCGTTTAAATCAAACGAGGCAAACGATGACGTTGAACGGAAAATTTGTCATCAAAAATTATCGATTATTCAAGCCATGGTAGGTTTAGCATGTGATTACCAACAGGAAGCTTATCCAAGTACATCTTTGTCATTTCCATCCGAACCTGCGGGCCACCATTGTGTATTCTCTCGTTGAAGACACCAACTCGAATCGCAAACAGAGATCAAAGGGGTCGGGTTGAATATTTCAATGTTGCGGCTTGATTTCACTTCGCCAGTCCTCCCCCTACGAGGTTGATGATCAGCCGTGGCTATGATTATCGGGTGTGAAAAGCACGTTTGCATCGTGATCAGCAGTCGGGACGTAATGGGAGAATACTTACCTCGTAATCGACGGTCGGACTGTAATAGGGCGGCGTGGTTGTTCTCGGCGTAGTGATCGGAGTAGACGAGGTCAATACGTCGATGGAACGCTTGCGAACGTTAACTTGCGGCGATTCTACGCCGACCCAGTACGTACTGTAGTCCTGAGCGAACGTGGACCTGCAACGAAAGGAAGAGGGAAAAAATTAGACGCAGGCGATCAACGATCGAGAGAGCTAAGGGAAGCACGGATCGATCCATGGACGGTGAAAGGGAAATGAAAACGTTTCAGCAAGGTACGAATGACTGATAGGAAACGACGATACAGAGATACACTGGTTGGAAAAATTACGGAATCTTGGGAGTCTTTGGAAGAACAGACTGAATAGCGAGAATGCAACGGGTATCGAGTGTTTGCTTCAGAACTACGCTTCTAGATCTCTTTGAATCAGCGTGCTCGGTTTCGCTTCCTCGGTGGAATTGAAAGTATCGAAGTAAGAAATAAGTTATCGGTAATCTCGGTATTAACCACTTACGCTTGAAAGTAGCTAATTAGCTAGCCGGTGACATACCAACGTCTAGACACCTTTCGACTAACATTCAGGATTTCCTTCATTTGAAAGTTCAAGCAGGTAATCCGGAATGCAAATGAATTACAGGTGCAAACTTTTGAATACCGATGGAATATCAGGTGAAATTGCAAACTCTAGCTGAATGTAATCGCGTACACGAACGTTTTTCCTTCACCTCGCACCGAGGGAATAGACGAGCCAGCTTAAACCTTGCCGTTCGAGTCGCTTCATTTAATGATCCCACGATTACTTTAACCGTCGGATCATAATCGGTCACGAAACGTATACCTGGCAACGTTTCCTTACGTTTCCGCAAGGAGGAGAGAAAAAGGGGGTATTGGAACGTCGATTCGTATTCCAACATCTCGGCAGATAAGAGTATAAATTACAGTCTTCCGGGTCAACGTGATGCAACCCATTGCCAGTGCAGGCGTGGGAACAAAAGATAACAATGTTGAGAACGAATAACGAGCCATGTTGAAAAATCGTTTCGATAGCGAAGGAAGGTACGGAATCGCGAGTGAATCAACGAATGAAGTCGCGACGCGGGTGGACCGATACCACGTGTCAAAAGGGAATTCGAACGACCGATTATTTATGGCTATCAGCATAAATTTCTCGAGAAGTTTTAATGGCGCTCGCGCTGCACTCTGTCCCCGTATTAATTGAGCATTCAGGAATAACCGGTGGCACCGATTACCAGCGGAAAAGTTTATAACGAATGTCCCGGCCGTTTCGACGTTCACCGTTACTCGCGTTTATATTGTATTCCGTGCACGAGGGAGACAGCCCGTGCCTCGTGCCACGCGTTCGTTTCTAATCGTAATTCATACGCGGACAGATCACGGTATATTACGTGCATGGGCTATATACACCGTGATCCCAAGACCGAGTTCTGTCGCAGAAATTGATCATACGATTGGTCGATAGTCTCCATGAATGAACGTCCTCATCGGTTCTGACTGCGATGAATCTTCAATTCCTATCCAGCTTAATGTACCGTTGTAAGATTCGCATAATAATGTTTAGTCTTCGAAGTAAAATCCGTTTTATTCCTCTGATTGAGTCTGATTCCTCGTCACGCCCAGGCAAGTTTATTTAAGCAAAATAATCCATGAGCGAAATGGAGCGATACGAATTATGCGATAAGTCGTGATTCACCCTATTACCATGAAAGATATCACGGATGAATTCATTGGGAAAGTCCGCTGATTCTTCGAGAGGAATAGAATACCCTAGTAAATAACGTGAAACATAATTAAACGTGGATTTGAGATAAATTCGTTAATAAGAACGATAATTGAAGATAATTTAATCGTACGGTAGATGAAAGGATCGTAGAAGCTTAAAGTAGTATCGAAAGTAGAAAACCTTTGAGTACAGGAGGTCGTGAGGGGCTGATACGGTCTCGGAGAATTAACGTGAAAGTACGACAATGCTTGATTTTCGTGATTTAATCCGCCTCGCTTCCGCATTCATGCGAGTTACTTCTTTCGCACGTCCAACTGTCGCATCATCAACGTGTATTATTACAGTACGTGCTATTGAATCAAGAATAGACTCGCTGTTCTTAAACACGTTAACGTCATTGAATTATCTGTGATACTTTGAAACCAGTGCCAATATTAACTGGAAGTATGACAATCGGTGAAAATTTTAACAAAATAACAGAGCGGCGTACACCCACAGGTGTTTCATTGAATACTCACTTGAAAACAATGGTGCCCTCGTAATCCACAGGTGCTTCCCAATCGAACTCGAGATTGTGCTTCTTGCTGGTGTTCGTGTGAGTCACCGCGTTCTTAACAAAAGGAAAGAGAAAAACATTTAAATGAAGAACTTGTTAGCTACGATCAAAATGATCCTACCAAGCGGTCTTGCAAATCATCGAACTTTCTAATCATTCGAAAAGAATCGTACCGATTCCACGAAAAACATCCTCCAACTATGATTCGATCGGTATCCTATTTATATATTTGACCTACATTTTACTCGCCCTGCCTTATTCATTGCCTTATCTGCTGTAATTGATTATTTATCTAGTATTCGTTTCAGTAGTATCGTTGGGCAATCGAAAACTAAAGAATCAACTCGTACGAAACAGTAATGCGCTTTTACCTTTACGCCTTGTGTGCACTCGACGATTCTTGCCGAATCGGGCAAGTTCGCAAACTCTCCGACGAATTCACCGGTCTCAGAGTCACGTGCAAGTATCATGAAACCCTCGTAGGCAAGACCGTGAGGACTTCCTAGAATTAAGCGGACTCTACCTTGTCCCGCAGCTGGTAAAACTTGGTAAGGAGGAGGATAAGTTTCCTGGTTCGTGCTTCCAGGATGACGAGGCATCAGATCTTCGCACGAACTCGGCGGTGCCCCGTTCGGCAGACCCTGCGTTCTCATCGAAAGAACGCTCAGAAAGATTACAAACGTCCCTTTCGTTACTGCAACACACAAATTACACACACTTTGTCACACCAGCATGTCGCATCTGTTTGAACGCCAGAACTACTGACATGTAACTAAGTACCTGTAGCTAGATACACTATACAAATGACAATAATCCAAATGGTATACTGGAGGTAAATAGGTACTCCAATAATGCAAAATTAATCTAACATTTCACATAGAAAAATTGGCAATGGTACACCTATCATTCCTAGCAAACCCGATTTTACGATATCTTGCTTGCTAGTTTGTTGGTTCTAGTGTTAACTATAAAACATGTGTACCTAATAACGATTCGTCGAAATTATACGCAAACTCGATGCAATTAGCATACGATACAGTTAACCAGGTAATGTAACCAAATCGAACTTCTTCCTCTTCCCTCTCGCGCTTTGAGATATTTCAAGAAATTCCAAAGGTCGCGATGATTCTTCAACTTTCTACTTCGATTTCTGCTTCTCAACTTTTCGCCACGACCAGTTTGCAGATAACAATTTCATACTAATGGACGGGCATCAAAGTCGCATCACGCTGGCAGCCGCATAAACTCGCAGGACTAGTCTGTCCAGAAGAACGGATCCCACCGACGATCTGTCCTTATAAGAGACAAACACGCATTATTCAATCGGGTTTTTGTGCGTTCCAAACTAAGGAATAATTGCGAGGAAGATACCGCGTACAAGGATATCGTTCCAATTCCAGAAACATCTACATGTATAATAAAACGATCCACATTTTATAACGTTCAAGAATTCCGTGCTGATTTCTTGTTCATGGAACACTTAAGACTCGTACACCGGGTTTTCCGCATACGTCACACACGCCCATTAGTACAGTTTCAGACACTGAAATGTCATGCGTTAGTCATCGATTTAAACTGGCCAGAGTTTTCCACTGTTCCATTTCTGGTATTCGAGATGCTCTCCTCGTCGCGTTGCGGTAGAATATAATGATAAAAATGACAATATTAAATAGTACCGAATAAAGTTATAATAACATGTACTACAATAATCGAAGCTTTTTGTAATGATCACCGATCGATAAAACAACGAGCATAGAGTCAGAAAACGAGTGAAGAAATTAAAGAGTTGAACCTGCTCTCTTTTCAACCTTTAATCAGCTTCCCTCTGGAAGCATGGAAAATTTTGATCTACCTTATCCTCGAAAACAAGATACGCAAGGTTCCTCTCGAGTACTTCCATAATCTTGCGAAAGAGGATGAAAAATTGAGAGAAGAATTCACAGACAGGGTTGAGAGAGGATAAAAAAGGTTCGTGCTCCTCCGTGTTAAATTATATCGGTTCGCGTTAGATATTTTCCTTCCTGCAGTGGGAAGAACGACGGAAAACGTACTACTGGTTATCATGGCGCAACTTTATGCGTTTGGCAATACCATAACCGCAGTTTCTACTGACCAGGTGCGGCCATAATTCATAGATCGATGAGAAAGTAACGCATACCTCGAAACTCGAGTACATTGACGTTTCGGTCTAATTTGGCAAATATTTCTATGGTTTTCATCGAGCCAGAGCAATTATCGCGTTTCCTTATCGTCTGAACAATCACGTAAAGTATGTCTGAATGACGAGGGTCGAGCACGATTAAAGTGATTACATAATATAAACGAGGCGGTATTTCAGTGTCGTTTCGGAATGTGCAGGTAAAGAAATCTCGTGGGTCGTCCAGTAGAACTCAATAGGTGAAAGTCAGCGTCTTTCATGCGTGGGTTACACACAACTAGTATACTAAGTCATTCACTCTACATGAACACCGCAGACACGCTTTGAATCGTCGTAAATAACGAAACGGTACACTAACGATCGTGTTTCAGACATTTCTGTACTCGTACGGATATTTCTGTCTACATGAACGTATAGAATTTCGATCGATTGCTAATACGAATATTTCTACAGGCGAAACTCCGTGCAGACGAGATCGTATTCGCTGTAATCAGTAGTGTATGAGTGATTCTAATTACGTTGTCGCACGTTGTCGTAAACTCGAAGCATTTTCTCAGATTGTTTCTTGGCTCGACACGAAGAAATCGTGTTCGTGTTATCCTGTTAGAACGAGCAAATGGCCGCGATCAAAAGAACAATTGCGTTTTTAGGGGCAATTACGAAAGCTATTTTGTACTTGTAGTCAAAGACATTTGAGACAAGGTCGATGGTGACCACTTTCGTTATAGTCCATTTACGCTATTGCGACAAATCGCAGCACATGCAAGCCTGTGCCCCAATATCGGGTTCGTTAAAACAGTGGAAATCTAGCGAAGAATGAATCTACAAAGAACTACTATGGAAAACAAGAAATTTGTAGCTAAATAGTATGAACAGTTTCAAACTTATTGTAGTTGACAATAGAGAAGATTCACAAAATCCTAATAAAATAAATAGGATATCAGCAAATTTGCAGATATTGAGAAGTTTGAGAACTTGTAGGAAATCCTATAAGCATTTTTGAACCTACGAAACCCCTACGTATTCGAGAATTTTCTGAAAACCGCGGTTACCGCAAAATCTCCCTACAGCCTGGGATTCTAAGGATTTCAACGAATCTCTAGGATCTGGAGGACTTCCACGAATCTCTGCATATTACAAAATTCCAGAAAGCTTCCATATCCACAAGAACTTCTAAAATTCAGAAAACCCGAAACCCTTGTATTCCAAGATTTCATGGTGCTATACAGTATGCATACAGGATTCTACGAGTCTAAGGTTCTTTTCTGTTACATATATCATAAGCTGAATTTAAAAGTTCGGAACGATTAAATTTATACGTTTATAAATACATTTTTCCTGATTTTACATTTTGAAAGCGTAACTCGAAAGCGGGCAACAGCTTGTTAACACTAATACTTCAACGATCCAATCTTCATAGAGTGAAACCGAAGAGAAATCTCTAAGACTGCATGCAAACATTACCTAACTGAACGTGTACGAGAATTCCAAGTACAAAGATTTCTCAGTCTATTCGCGTCTCGTGAATGGTATTTCAATGTCAATGATTTTAAATCATGATGAAAGTTCGATATCAAACTATCACCAGAACATTTCTAGAGATCTTTGTTCTGCGTTGCTCATCACGTGCTTCAATCCAACCGCAAGAACGTACGAAATGGAATCTTTCTGACACGCGTTCCTTTGATGGTTACGGACGCACGATGAATGTTATAAAATCTCAAATGCGGGATTTCATATTACTCGCAAACGTTTTCGGCCCTCATAACCATAGAACATACTCTCGCACACCTCGATGCGACGTTGAGAAAAGAATAAAGAAACATTGCAAAACATCGTGTACGTGGATACGATTTTAGAACTCGCGTCACGCCTAAATCGAAATTATGCTGCGATCTATACCTTGACACTTTGAAACAATGGGAGGCTTTTTTTCATAGACATTAGTACTCGCCGCTTAATTGCTAGTTTTTTAGTGCCTTTAATTGCATAGAATAGCGGAAGATCGATATCTTCCTCGTATAATTTTTCCTTCAAAAACTATTTCTTACTTTGAAGCGAATTACGATAAAAAGGAACTCTTTAAACTTTTAGCCACAGAAAGACAACCTGGGAATGCATAATTACTTCATAACGATTGTTTAAGAATATGAATGTAATACATTTTGAACAAGTATAAATCATTTTATGCTTAGAGTATTGTTCGACAAGATTAGAATCTCAATCTCGAATAGTTTATACTATTACTATAATAAAGATATCATCGCGAATAGTGCAGCTACATTCAACCATGTAGACATAAAGTACTTTTCGTTAAAACGACTAGCTAAATATATATTTTAAATATTATCCGTGTTCATAAAGCGAAATTCACAAAACTCGCGTGCACGTGCACTATGTACAATAGCCTTAAACGAGGGCATTGTTCTTTCCGTCGATGGTGGCCGCAATGGGGGAAGCAGGGGATAAAAATCCATTCATTAAAAACAACGTTTGAATGACAGATGAGGAGTTAAGAAGCACGGTAATCACGCTTCGCCGGCTATTATCATGTATCATTATGGTATTGTTCGAAGCAACGAGCACAAGGCTTCCCGCGTCGCGTTTTGCGGCTTGTTCCATCCGCGAAGCACGCGCGCGCGCGCGCGGACAAACGCTGCTCACGCACCGATCTATGAATCGTGGTTGCAATAGAGACTGTGCAGCCAACAACGCTGTCAGAGAATGCACAATGTTGCCCTGTGACCGAGTTAATCCAGGGAATTGCGCTTTCGTTCGATTCCGTTACGACCACACGAGGGAAAATTTCTAACACGAGAGAGAAACGGTACTCTCTGAAGTAAAAAAGACGCGAATTCGATTTCTTCCCTCTTCTGCGCTCCTTTACAATCTTATTACCATTATCGTTCGATGTAATTTATGATCGAAAGTGCATATACGTCTGAAATAAAAGTAAAAGTATATTGGATGATACTATGTATAATGGGTACAAAAAGTATCTGCACATATTTACATTTTTAAATTAAATATTTCTTTTACCTCGCTTCCTGAATAGTAACTTTTTTGCACCGAAATTACAGTACTGCCAAGCAACAGGAAGTTCAATATGTTTGTACTTAATTAATCGTTACCTGAATAAATGAGAGAAGCGACGTGTAAACACTTTTTGTATCCACTGTAATAACGTTTGGACTTGCACATCCTTTTGTTTCTCATCTCTTTGCTCGTAGCAGTCCAAAAAGTTTGTAAATTACCCGCCACCTGTTTAGGATATATAAAGATAAAGAATAAAGTGTGTGTAGGTACAGGGAGCAGCTGAATATTTTTTTAAATTACGGGCATTTTCGCCACGTGACACGAGAACACTGCCGTATACGATGATCCAAAAATAAAATAAATACGAAGATACACACGGTTCGTGTCGAAGGATACGATCGTGCACGTATGAATTATACATGATGGAATCGTGTATGAGTCAGGCACGCCACCACACATTACGCGTCACTTGTACAAATAAAATAACATTACTTATCGTTTATGTACCGCTCAAATTTAATCACTGGTGAACTAAAAAACAAAAAAAGAAAAGCATACAAGTCGGATAAAATATGGCGAGAAAAAATAAAATCATCGTTGATATCATACCGAATAAAGAAAAAATATATACATAGTGCAATGGATATTTTATATCCAAATAAAGTTTGTGTATGTATACTCGAATATTTTTCGATACAATCAAATCGTAAACTTGGTGTTTGGAGGACATGTCGTCATAGTAACGTTATTCTCCTGTCCTAGAAATTCCTCGCTGAGCATTGTACCTAGATTCCTACGTTAATGTGTCAAATCGTGTGTTAGTTTATTATTTTACACGTTCATTGCTTCGTTCGCTTCTGTCCGCACTCCTGTCCTAGAAATTCCACACTGAATGAACATAGTTCGGAAATTCTTACGTTAGAACGTCATATCACGAACTAATTTATTACGCAAGCAAACTCGACAAAGTACGTTAACAGCTACCAACAAACACAAAAACATTCACCGAATATAATTTTGGACCCGCACTAATCATGCAATCCACAGTTTCGTAACAAGTTTAACAACCTCACATATTTATTTTCCTAATGTACCGACTATTTCAGGTAAATGATTAAAGTCAGTGTAAATTGAAAAAAAGGATTCAATAAACTGTTACGCGTTGTTCCTGACGCTCGCATTATCGATAAACCATTTTCTTCTCGCCAATAAAAATCAAATCGAAAGAAAAAGTTCCCTTGCCTTTATAGAATATTCTAACGTGTCTTTTGCGAATCGAGAAATAATATCTTGAAGATAAAGTTCAAAGTTCGAGACGCTTTTAAAACGGATCATCGAATAATACTTGGAACGATTCGTTTTAATGCTACCCAATGCACTATTTATCGATAATCGATTTCGAATCAGTTACCAGTGGGACGAAGAAAGTTCGTTGGACTTTCAAACGCAACACTAAACTTTCTAAAATATTACCGTGACGCTTATTTCTTATTTGCACCGAGAATGTAACGCGTTGAAATAAAATCGATTCCACGTAACAATTCTTTCAGCATTTCCATTCTTTAGACGAAGCGTGCCATGCCACGTGCAGGAGCATAAAAACGTTCTAGTTCGTGACAGGTGCATCGGGAAACTTGTTTTTTTAAGCAGCTTCCATAGAATTTGAAATGAAGCACGGCCATATTTATTATGGTTCTATTTCACATTCAACCGCCTCTTAGATGATCACACTGTTATTCGGATACTCTCCCATTGGATAAATATCATATAGAATTCCATGCTTAATCTTGAACGGTGAGAGGACAATACGAATCTGTCGGCAATTTGTTACACCAGGAGTCGCGACTTTCGCAATTTGCGTGGTCAATGATTATACTAAACACTGCCATCAATAAACGATATTATCGATGAACAACCTATCGAAAACACTATACATCGAAGTCAAGAAATAAATAATTCTATAATAACATGTTCGAACATGTTAAGTAATTAAAACAATTACATAGCCTATAATTTTTGATATCAACACGATATATGCTTACGTCGAATGTTTTGCATATCCATAATTACAAAATAACAACTCGAAATCAATACTCACAGTGCTTCATATTTGGTGATTTTTCCCTCGTAAACTTCTATCTTGTACTACCTATTGAATTATATTTACAACGTAATAAGCACGCGGTCGGCAAGCCGTGAAGTCACGTGTAGCGGAACTCCGGTGTATACATAGAATTCTTGCTGATCCTGACAAGAAAACACGCGCGTCACAGTCGCATCTCAGTATAGAAAAATCAATGATTCATCGAATCATCGATCACCACGAAATAAACACAACGTTAGTGATTCCGGTCTCGCGATCGAGTAATCGAATCCCGACGCCGAAAGGTTAACCTGTACGATCGAGTCGAACCGATGTCACAATACTTGTACTCAAGATCGTGAACTCGCACGGATCTGTATACACGGTCCTTGCGACTCTTTCTGCCACCTATGCGCGCCCTCTACGAATTCTCTTTTGCACACGAGGTCGTGAAGAAGAAAAAGGTGTTCACTAAGTTCGGTTAGGTCAAGTGTTTTCCCGACGTAGTCTCGAGAAGCACTTGTTGATTCCGGACGAGCATAGTTCTGACCAGAACGCTGAGAACCACACCTTACGAGAGACTGTAGTGAATATACGGATCGAGTTGAAAGGCCCTCGCCCGTGAGACCACATCAGGTACGTACCTAGCGAACGGAACCCCTGGCACACGATCGATCCACGCTCCTTCCGATCCTTGTTTACACAATAAACGACCGGCGCGCAAAATCAATTATCAAACGTTCAAACACCGCAAAGACGAAAGAATGTAAAGTAGAGATAAAGATCACAAGTTACTACAGGGATGTAAATGATGTTTCCAATAAATTCAATCTTCACAACGTTTAAAATAAGTTTAATTCGAAGAAAAATTGTTATTAATGTAAATACGTCGTCACATATCACTGTTACCACAAATTCTTCCTGATCAAACATATTAGATTATTATAATTCATTCTGTATACAATTTAATCTAGACATTCTTCTGTCATGAAATAAACTGCCAGACTTTTTGACAAGCTGGATAAAAATTTAATAAATCAAATACTAAATTCTTAGTTCAAAATGTGAATATTAACAAAAACGCTGAAAAATGTTATAAAGAATATTTAATACGAAGCCACACCTAAACTTGCATCTTACGGAATTGCATTAACACCAGACAAGAGTTTTAACTTTTACTCTACGAATCGAGGATAGCAGAAGAAAGGCGCAACATACCAAAACCCTGTGCTGTGATTCGAGGCGAAACTTAAGAAGAAACTATCAAATATCAAGGTGAAGAGCACGGGGACAAGCATCTGATACCTGACAAATTATCATTAATGACCTTAGCGATTATAATTCATTAGCGAAACAGCCATTTAATATAATTAAAATAAAAAGATAATTTGCTTATTAAGTAAAGTATAGTCATTACAAAGTCAATTTAAGTTGTTCACAATAACTTGTGAATATAGTGTAAATAAATTTGTAAAATATGATTATTTTACAATCATATACAAACTGAATAAACATAAACATATTATTTTGTTATATATTAATTTGTTAACATTGTTTAACGTTGAGAATATACCTGACAGTAATGAAGCGCTACAGGTCGTCGATACTTGAAGGGAGTATACTAAAGAAATAAATTTTTTAAAAGACCCGTTATGCCCGGCAGTAAATAATTAGTAGGCACCCAGCGTACTTGCTTAAGAAGTCATTCAGACATAGTCTCGCGCCGTCCCTGAGCCGTTGTAAAGAGAGAGGGACTAACTACTTGGCTCCAAAACGGGGGTTTGGCGTACCGTACGTTCACCGTGCTGCGTTCACCTTAGTTTTATCGACGTATTTTTCTCGTCTTCTCTCTTTTCTTCGTTCCAGTGATGTCTGACACTCGCTTAACCGTCCATTGCATACTTTCTTTCCATCCCTCACTCGATAACTATGTCGACCTCGAAAAATTTCTGCCATACCATGCGAATTGACTCAAACTGATCTCCTTCACAGAACTGAAAAGAATATTGATAAAAAATTATTCCGAATATGTCTCCACTAATTTACACACACACACACACACACACACAGACGCACATATAAATTTACAATGTACATTTTATAACTTTTATAAAATTTGGTTAGAATAATACTTTCTTAAGATAAAAGATACACCATATCAAAATAACCAATTGTCTATGAACTCGAATTCGATAGAAGGACATGGGTCACTTTTACCGGTATTCTAGAACGTAAATCGTAAAACCGGTTTTAAAGACGTGTCCCAAAAATTAAAGGGTAAAAGAGTGTTCGATAGTAAACCTGTTGAATGGTAAGTTTCACTGCATAAACACTTGTTGGAAACTATAAAATATTTGATAATTATAAATAGTAAGAATACGAATGAGAAATTACTTCGAACGTGCACCGTCGGTATCACCGTAATTGTAGCGCTAGTCGTTAGATGGGACTTGTGTAGTGTATAACGCGCGAGATTCATCTGTTTTAAATTGCAAATCCAACTAAAAATTGCAGAAAAATAAAATTTATTATCAGTTTCCTTTTCAAATATTATATTAATAAAATAAAATCATTTCAGTACAATAATGATATAAAAATGATACCATATGTAATGAACAATATAATGTTTTACCTTTTTTTACTTACAATTGTACTAAGGAATTAATAATTTAATTTATATCATGGAAAATTATTATTACTAATTTCTACAAATGATCTGTTTTTAATTTCTAAATAACATTATAACTTTGTTACCTTTTATTTTCCTTAATACATTAACTTGTACAAGAATAGAACGACCAATATTTATTATACACTAAAGAGAAATTCTTTGTTGAGTAGAAAAAGAGTGACGTTATAGGTTTTCAGTGTGACCATGTACTCTTTTAACATCTACAGTGACGTAAAGAACCATCGTACATATCTAGTGGAAATTCTATACACTCTTGTAAAAATTCAATGTAGCAGTTTTTATTTTTTTATGAAAGTATTATCTAACATTATTAATCACCTTGAATCTTTCATGTTTGATACTTTGTATTATTGGATAACTTTTCCTTGCGTATCATTTAAATGTCTATAATAAATGTATTATTATTCATATATTGCAATACCCATAATATAAATTCTTATTATAAGCAATTCTTAAGGTTAAATTTAAAAACTATTTATCATTTTATCATCTAAAAAAGCGAGATATTCCTTGATAAATAAATCTCATCATATGCACTCATTCATAAACCTAAATCTTACCGCTTTACCGTGAGATAATCTGCGCAGGCGCATATTGCACCGAACACGCATGTGTTTCGTGTCCTGTGCACAAGTTTCGTTTCGCGACTCGTCTTGTGCGGACGCGGCATCAGATACGAGCGCGAAACTCTATCGTCAACGTTTCACGAATTTCGAGAAATTTTTGAGGAAAACGTGAATGAAACAATCAAACCCTGCATTCCGCTTAAAGTACATCGTTACACTTTATATACGTATACATTACCGCGGCTAAATATTTCGAAGTAGTTGATATGTCCCTGTTCGCCTGTTGCATACGTCGGGTGAGTTTTGTTGTTCCCGCCTACAGACAATCACACGACGTAATTGATCGACTACGTATATGAGTCATCACTGACCAGGAAAAGTAACATCAGCCACATATTGAATTGCATCATTTCCGTAGCAAGATCAGTGGAACAGTATACGAAGAATTGATTATATTGCGTTGGTACCATATGCATTTTCTTTCCTCGTAAAAATTTATTCTTAAAAAGAAAAAAGTTTTTCTTGGGGTTAATAACGTTAATGATAGATTATTTTTCTTTCAATCGTGAAATTATATACGTATTAAGAATATAAGGAAAAATTATATATAGTAAGTTCGCCGGTAGTATATATACATATAACCATTGCGTAGTTCTTTTGAGTGATACAGTGAAGTCGTAACCGGTGACTAGTAATGTCGACAGCACGCAGGATCAAGAAGGTAATAAGCTGCTAAATAGTAAAACATAAATATTATCAATTAACTTTTAACCTTAATTCCTGTATACAGGTTATCTTGTATTTTTCGTTCAAAACATTTCATCGAGTATTTAGATAAGATAAAATAAATAATCCAAACTTAATGCGTATATACAGTTTCCATACTCAAATGTAAAATTCATTGGCAAATAGAGGTACTTACCGTATTAAACATGTATAAATATTTTTCCTGTACAGAATATGATAATATTTAAAAGAACTTTCTTTGTAGACTATTGTCAGTAACACACCGTGACTAAAAGAATCCATGGTAAATTAATATCATATGGTATAAATGATGCTCGTGCCCGTTATCTCCAGCAAATACCTTAAATTGTTTCGGTAGTTAGAATATTTGTAGTTTTCTTCTCCAGTGATTTTATGATCTCCATATATTACTCAACGATATGTAAACATTCAATTAGTTTGAACTAGACCATGTGTATTTATATGGACATAGATGAGTTTGCTTTCACATTTCCTATAATCTGTTTAACTTGAAATTAATATAAATTCTACTTCCCATACTTATCGCTAGAGGGACGACTATCACAACCATGTTCATCCAAAATCGTCGTTGAAGCATTCCTCTCATACAAATATTACATCTGACCTGATTTCAACTATTCTAGCGTTTGAGGCATGAGCATCCTGAGATAACCTTACCGATAAGTCCAATAGCAAGCCTCGAACGACACGGCATCCATTTTCTCGACTCCCCCTTTTTACTATAATACATTCTCGTGGTACGATGTATTTTCTTTCATATATATTATTAAATACATTAATAAATATATTTCCTTAATATTTACGTTTCTCCTAAATAACTGTTTAATATATTTTTCTATTTTATATTTTTTCTGTCCAGCTAAAAGTTCAAATAATATATTGGATGTCAATATTCAGATAATGTATATTTGGAAATTGATTAAATTAGAAGACAAAAGAAGAAGAATGACGACACTGTTCCGTTAAAATTGACCGAAGCCAGTCCGCAATTGACAAAAGTCAGAATGATTAAGAGAACAAAAAGGAATCGCTTGTTTACCGGAAAATAAAAAATCGGTGCTGTGTCGATTTTTCCATGGCCGCGGGCTAGCCTTAATTCTTGCTCACCCCTGTCGCTCAGGTGGCAGAATCGGTAAACAGAAAAATGAAGTTAACTTCGCGTTGCGGGGTTGTCGGGGGCTGGGAGCGTGTTCAGCGTAACTCGCTAGGGTGAACGGATACATTTTCCGCTACTTAACGGATTTCATGCTCAAGTATCAAAGAGATCGTGTCCTTGCTCTAATCAGCGCTCGTATTAATAGAACGCGACTTTGGTTTTGTAAATTTTCTTAGGATCCTTGCGCCTCTGTTATTCCGTATCACTTGGGATATGACAGAAGAAAGTTATTCGAAATATACGCGAAAACGAGAGATATAAAAATAATAAAAACATGTAACGTCTTCTTGACCATGCGGGAAAAGTTAAGAACAAAAGGTTTCTGGTTGAGGGATTCGGTCGCTTGATCGCGACTCAACCGATGTACAAAGGTTTAATTTTACGCGAACCCTTCTTTTTTTAAGTCGACCATGTTCCCGGGCTTCAGCCGTGATTCCTTGATTCAGACGAGGAATTTACAAGCGAAAATCATCGCTGCGTAAATGCTTTCGAGGTTTTCCCATTATTCGATTTTATATGATTTCGCAGAATCAACGACGAATGGAAGACACTCGTCAACAAGTGTTAACGAAGGAACCACCCGAGATATCTTGGGAGAACACACTCGGAGCGCCGGATGGCGTTCCCTTCGATGACGACACGAAGGAGTTACTCAGAAGATGCATCGATGTATCGACACCGACACCTACGACCTTGTCACAAATCATGAAGCGGAGTGAGGCCTTTCCTATAAACTTTCCAATTAACACCATAAGATGTTCCGCCCTGAAAGAAAGAGGAATTAGCACGAATATTCTTGAGGTTAGAGCTTTGAAATATCTTTGGTCATTCGTTAAATATTAAACAGCTAAGATAATTGCATCATGATTATATACGTTCCATAATGTTCTAGAAAACTGTAAAATATTCCTTTATATTCTTATATTGTTGTTTAAAATCAAGATTTAAGAACGCAGATTTAATTGCAGATGAATGCGAACTCAGTTTATCCTTTGATACACGAAGCTATGTTACCATTACTTGCTCGGTGGTTAAAGTATAAACGACTATATGGAAGTGCAATTGAGAGAGCCATGTATAAAGACATGGGATTGGTACAGTTCGTTCATCGTTTGCTAGAAAAACGAGCTGTGCATTTCTATGGATCTGAAGACCGATGGAAATTGATCGATGGTAAGACAGGTGTGAACGGATGGGAGAACGTTGGCACAGATCATGAGAAAGAACCCCTGGTTTGTTATTTATCTTTCTTGTATACAATCGTTTTGAGGATAATAAAAATTTATTATATCTATGTGAATTTCCTTGCTAACAGGTATTGACAAAATGTTTGTCATACGACGAGATTAAATTATCTGCGATGTTGGCGATGTCTTCTCACACGGAATTCATAAATGATGGTGCGCGGGAGAACAGAGGCGTCGTGAATACCGATCCAGACGCTGTACAGCCGAGAGGAGTCATTATGGGTATTGTGGGAACAAGGTTATCTATGTTTATTTAACATTTATCGTTAATAACAAAGTTATTTTAAAAACATCAAAATGCATTCAGTTGTGTATAAAAATTCGCATTATTCACTTCATTTACCAATTGTTCCCAGATTTGTACGACCACGTTTCATGGAATACCAAGACATAATTATCACTCCTACGCAAAATACTGTCGAGAATGGGTTAGTTGCGAAAATTGTCATGTTTATATAATGTGTTTATAAAGAGTTTAGTGCAAAAATTATATATACTTTGTGATATTTGTATAATAGATACGGACCACACACGAGTGGTAATTCAGAAGAAATACGCGGGCTGCGCGATTTATGGGCAAAATTTTATGGCGAGGATTATCTTCCATTGTACGATGAAACGCTGAAGCGAGTTAAATCGAAAGATAACAAAAGATATCTTTCAATAAACAGTCAAACGATCTTTGATATCGAGAATTACATGAAGAGAACACTGCTTGCTGTAGAAATCATACTTCTCGACGCAAACACACGCGCAGAAAAACAAAATACAACTGCTTACTTACACGTTGTGGGTTTTGGTCTGGGTTAGTAAAAGGAATCACTTTTTATTATGGACTGTTCATAATTTGATACTATGACAAAGTAAGCATTGTAAACTGTATGAAAAAATATTTCTAGGGATATGGAGAATAATTCAAGACCAAGAAGTATACTTCTTAAAGACATTCGAAATTGCCCTCAGAAAGATGAACAAGAAACTGAGATACGTATCTGATATAATGTTCGCATACTTCCACCACCAGAAGTGCGGCGAAGCCGGAAACGGCGATTATCTCGGAGGTTAGTTAACACTTTCAGCTCCTTCCTTTCAACAAAGACAGTCCTTACAGACGATGCGTTATTTTTCAGATATAAGAATACACTTTGCCCTTAGAGAACCTCACAGTAAACTACTCAGGGCCTCAGATGCAAATAAGCTTCTCGTAGTAACATACGCGTGGGACGGAAACGCGTTGCCAGGTTGTTGAATAATTTACATTAACTGAGCTCACGCTTACATTCAATAATAATTTTTGTAAAACGAATAGTTTAAATTACAAAGCTGCTATTATAATCATTCATACTGAATATTAAAATTCATTCCTTGTCTCGGTAATAGGAAATGAATTTTGGGGTGGACACTTGCAATCAAGCGGAGATTCTGCAGCAGCGTGCAGTACCCAGATCACAGAATTACACACTTTTAGAATAAATCCTCGAGCATGTGGAGCCAGCTTGCACGTTGCATCTGCACAGCATGGTATTTTGCACATATCGGATTACGCGAAGTTACATCTTGCTTAGGTGACTAGTTTTTTATATCGTGTCGAAATTAATAGATAACTAAGTTAATTTATAAACGAACATACCGGTCACGAAAGTTTTTAACTTCGAAATCCAGGAAAGGGCTGGCCCAATGGGCACCGGTCAGCGAAGACCATCTCGATCTCCTCGTAGTCAGAGGAGTCGTAGCGCAGATGTGGATTGTTTGAAGAAGTACACGGAGAGGCGGGTGGAGGAGAGAAGACACACAGAGATACCAGACACAAGCAAACTCGATCCCTCCAGATGGATTCCATTACCAAAAAATATTACACGAATCCAGCCAGCTTTGAAGAAGTCGCCACAATCGGCGAGGGACGAAGAAAAACGACGTTCAGTGTCGGGCGAACCCGAGGAAATCATAACAGATAGCGGTAAAGCAAACGCGGGCACACCGAAGAAATTGTCACCTACGAAAGAGGAAGAAACGACAAAAGGTCCTGACGAAGGGAAAAGCGATACGTCCTCGCCAGCCACATCCAGACAGACGGGCGGCAGGAGTCATAGCGCGGACGTCAGTCACATAAAGAAAGAAAAACTGGTCGAGGAACGAAGGCATACGGAATGCAGCGACCCCAGAACAATCGCGACGAGGTTGACAGAGCACATTTTCCTAGTCAAAAAGAAACCGATGCCATGAACGAATCAATTAAGACCGCGTGCACTCGTGATAAGTACCGAGACGTTGCACTAACTGTAATAATCGATTACTAGAGGTACACGTTAAATAATGTTGTCATGCAAATTATATGTATATAGAATAATAATAATTCGATGTCGGTTGTTATATGGATAGAAATGTATACGGCACGATAAAAAAAGAAACAGTTCTCCTTTGTTCGGTAAATATAATGCATACGTATAATATATAAAAGCAATAAAAAATAAAACAAACTCGTTGATTAATTGACCATTTCTGGCGCTTAAACAAATGTATCGAGTCTCGACACTGGATTTCTGATACCAAATACCTTTAGGTGGCTACCGCAAATTAACACCTCAAGGTTCCGCTACGATGCATCTCCATTCGCCAGGATCAGCAACAGCTGCGAAATCACGAAAAACGCCGCGACCAGATGGATGACGTTCGTCAAGAATCCATCCCCGTGTCCGATACCGCGAATGAACCCGGAAAGAAAGCCTTCCGCGGCGGAAGCGAGTCACGCGACCGACGGCTCGCAGCTTAAAAACAATAAAAATGAATCCCCAATATGGGAACCGCTGCGAAAATTCTCACCAATGGCGTCCAAGACCAGTATAGAAACTAATGATAAACAAGGTGAGTCAATGTACGATTTATTGCAAAAGAATTAATTGACGTTGTTCTAAACATGGATAATTATATACGATCAATTTCAGATACGGTGAACCCGAATCGAGATTTACCATCATCCAGACATTCTCCGGATGCCAACGAGCAGTCAAGAAGACTTACTCAACGTATGCGAGATCTATACGACTTCAAAACGGAAAACGAGTGGCCAAAGAGGGCGACGAATGCTCGACGTGGAAACGCATGGATGAGTAAAAGTAGCAGCGAGGAAGATAGGACTAATAAACCAGTTCGTAGGAATAGCCAAGATTTGGAGTTCAACGACAGAGTAAATGTTATCAAGGTAAGCATACTCTTTATAAAATATACCATTTTCATTCTACGTTTGTCTCGTGTGACTTGGTGAAATATTTTTATCGCCAATGGCACAGTTAAAGGATACGAAAGTACAGTCGGATCACCAAGAACCCAAACGTACACCAAAGAAAGATGAACACCCAGGTGGTATCGACGTTTTCAACAGCGAATACGAAGAACGTTTAAGGAAGTTCAACGAGAGACTCCGTTTCAGCGAAGATCTAGGCTTGGCCAAGCCGAAGATCAAGGAAAGACGAACCTACTCCGACGACTATGACGAGAAATCTCGTCGAGCTTCCACGCGATCGACTCGTACGGAAGGTTCAGCGCAGCTGACGCGTGCAGAAGGATCTGTTCGATCGACACGTAGAGAAGATTCAATTCGATCAACGCGTACAGAGGACTCGGTTCGTTCAACGCGTACAGAAGATTCGAGTCGATCAACGCGTACAGAAGATTCGAGTCGATCAACGCGTACAGAAGGTTCAGTTCGATCAACGCGTACAGAAGGTTCGTCGGTTCGATTAACGCGATCGGCACACTCGGAAGAATCGCAAGAAAATCGCTTCCAGGCCGAGAAGAAGAGGCCATCGGACGCTAGCAGCAAATCCAGGGGAAGCTACGCCGAGGTTACTCCCATATCCCCCGTGAAAAGGGATTCTCGCACGAGCGACGCAAGCTACGCGAGTATCGCCAATTATTCTGCGAAACGAGCTAGCGTGGACTGCAAGAGTACTAGACAAATGGTCGAGCTTCCGCCACGAAGGGCTTTCAGTCAAACGGAAGAGAGACCATCGACGCCAGTTCCGCCGGTGGAATGGAACGATGACCGTTACGCGGCTGCTCGCCACAAACAGATTTCCGAACGCCAGAAGAGAGACAGTACGAGATATAAAGTGTACCTGACGTAAATGAACGAACGTATTTTTGATTCACGAATAAGTGTTCATAAAAGTTTCATCGATGTAACTAAAGAACGTTTCTAGAAATTCAATCTCCAGTGAATTTTCTTCGACAGGACTGATTCCATAGGGAAAATGTAAAATGTCGCGAAAGAGTTATCAAAGGTAGGCAAGATAGAAAAGATATGTTTGATAAATTTACGTTCGATGATTTATTTTGTCAGCCCGTGGTCGTTAGTAAGGCAATTATCCTAATCAAGTATTACACGTAGTCGTTGAAAGTTCACTAGCACCCGAAATGCTTCTCTTTTGCCACTGTTCAGTGTCAAATTTTTGAATATGTATGTCATACGCCGGTGGTGGTATTTTATATATGGAGGATACTTGTATAATTTGTATCGACATTGTGGAACCGCATACGACTATTCAATTACGACAGTGAAAGGAATGTATCGATGTCCTTCGCGAAGTTTGAATTGAAATTGATTTTCGATAATTGGTATACGTCGTTGAAGGAGATGTCGCGTTCCATCATGTACGGTCGCAACTGAACATAAAAATATGAGAAGAAAGTGTACCTAATGCTGTACAAATCATGTAATACGATTTAACTAATAAAATATTCTTTAAGAGAAAGATTAGATCGCATAGAAACATCATAATCGGACATAATCAAACTCATGCTAGACTAGATTGCACTTATTAAAACTCGAGCTCGCAATTTCCTTGACGCTAGAAGAATCGCTCTAACGAAAACCAGCAAATCAATCATCCTGCATATGACGAATAACAACACTCTTCGATCAAACCGGGAACGAATAAATAACACGCGTCTAATTTCGTTACAATCATGTAAACTCAATCGCAGCCTGAAAATCGAAATTGTCTCTTAAAATTACGAAGTACTTTCAAACAAATCGATCCATGCTGCTCTCGTAGGAAGAGTTTCGATCGATCTCAAATGATCATACGCAAAAGTCTACGCGATCACGTCTCCTACTTGCGTTCGACGTTCCGAAAATCATTGCGAAACGCTGAACTCGAGTCTTTGACAAACGTCACCTTTACCCTCTTTCTTGCAGGTACGCCGTGCACAGAAGATGACAGTGCTTTGCAATCTCTGCTCTGCCCGGATAACTGTTGCTCCTCTTCTTCTTTCTCGATCTTTAGCCTCTTCTGGGCGCAATTTGCCACACTTCCGCTGATGGTGGACGACGAGCTGCTCGTTACGGACACACTCGACGAACAATTTGTCATGATACTCGAGCTGGTTACGACCTGCACGTTTATCTGAGGCGACTTTGGAAAGGTCGAAGATCGTTGGCCGGCTGGAGAACGCGTCAGACTTCCGTTGCTCAACGCGCTCGACGGAAGAGCATTTTGTGCAACTGCGGTCGACGGTGTAATACTTCTTTTGCAAACGGGATTTGATACACTATGACCCGGAGGTGCGATCATCAACAAATTGTTTCCGTTTTTATCGCACACGACGTGAGAGATCGGATGCTGCAACTGTGCTTGACTGTTGAAGCTCGTCCTGTACGCGTGGTTTTCGCTTATTGGCTTCTCCTGTTTCAAGTATGGTGTTGTGGATTTTGGCTGATAGCCCGTTGAATTTTGAGTGTTGTAATTGGGCTCGCATTTGATCTGGACCTCGTGTTGCGCCGCTTCGTTCCGCTCTTGCGCCTTTTGCCATTCCAAAACGTTGTTCAGTAGCCGTATGTACCTGTAAAATGCACGATTTTAGATTTTTCAAGTATAGTTTACAAGTATGATCGTTTTATTTTTTCAAAACGAGAGATCGTTCTACTTACACGAATATTATAAGCATTTTTCCAGAATCTAGTATTTTTCCGTGTACACGTGAGAACGAGTAGAAAGTAGCGCTTTTGTTATTTTTAAATCATCCTGTTAATTATCCACGTACGAAAAATGACTTGGAATTCAAGAGACTTTATCACTCATCGCGATCAAGATCACCCGCAGTTAAATGACCAACGATGTAACAGAATTATTCGCCATTTAGATGCTCGTTAGATTCATTTGAAAATTTACCGAATCGCCATGCGCAAGATCTCATTCTTCGACAGCTTCTTATCCGGTGGATGAGTAGGCACCAATTTTCGAAGCTCGGCGAAGGCTCCACTGACATTTTGTTGTCTCCAACGTTCACGGCTGTTCGTGAACAACTTCCGAACTCCCAGAGTCCCTACCCGAGGTGTTGGCAGACCGAGATGACCACCTCCGGAAGACGAAATCCCGTCTAGCTATGAAATTATTATCAATTTTAAAACTCATCGTACACACTTCTGTCGTACATTGATCAAAATTCTATTCCCCAATGGGTCTCTTAACATTGGATCTGCCAAACGTGTCAAAATGGTGTCAGTCTTTCTATTATACCTTTACAATCATTGGAAACACGTGCAACTTACAAAGTCAATGTCGCAATATCTCACCACTTTAGCACTGTAGCTACCAATAGGATCAAAATGACTACTTTCGTATAACTTTAACTTTCATTCAGCTAGGAATGCAATTATACAGTGGGTAAACAGAGTATTAGCTATATTAAAGGAAAATTCATATAACCAGAAAGTTTTGATCTTAATCAATGTTTATGAAGCAATATTTTTTAAGGGGGCCAAATGGATCCACAAAGTTTCAGTATTTTGCATCCTCCGATTATAATCTTTCTTTGGAATCTTTTTCCGAAAATAATCATATATATAATCTGTTATGAAATACATACATATATATACTCATAGAATTTCGTGCAAATTAGGAAATTAAAATCAGAATTCTCTGGTTAGATGAATTTCCATGTAACATAATATGTGCCAATCCCTTTTCTACCCACTGTATATTACCATTTATCTTTATCGTATTACTACAATCGTTATCATTTGTGTATACTATATTTAACTGCTCGCATAGATCGGAAGTTCCAGTGTTAATTATTATTATCCGTATATACTATATTTAATTGCACGCTACACGTCGATAGTTCTAGTGTTAAAGAAATTAAACCATCGCGATGCATGGGCTATCAGCGACATTCGCAATTAAGATCAATTAGAATCTTGCTCACGGAATTATTGCGTTCCCGTCGTTTCTTGCCTTGCTCCTCTTCCTCGTCCGTGTCATGGGAATAAAATTCATCCGAGAGCGTCGCTTCCTCCTCCGTGTCCCTCGACGTGCCAGGTGAATCGCCGACTTCCTCCGCGAGTTCTCCTTCGCCGGACAATAGTGACTCCGCTGGAGAACCGTTCTCCGTGTCTACCGTTCCTCCGCCGCAGCCATTGTACGTCAGCATCGACTGCAATTTATTAATTAGTCGTCTCGGCTTCGCTCGGATCATACGTTATCACTTTCCGCGCCTACACCTTCCTTCGCGATCCTACGTTTTCCCTTCGATCGTTCGACCATGGGTCTGTCGAACGTTCAGCTGGATTCTTCGTCCGTTTTTTCGGCGTCGCGACGTGACCAGACAACGGATGACAAAAGACGCGGGAAATCTCAATGAATTATCACGACGAAATTAGCCTACATAGGCGCCAACAGGATGCTTCTATCGCAACCTCCCTCCGCGCTTTCGTCCCTGACATTCAATAGATACGTCCGCGCATGGATGAGTTACTCGGTTTTGCGAGTCGATGTTCCCCAAGAGTTTTCGCGATGCAGGATTTCGAGAGAAGGGAAAAGAGAAGAGGAAATGCGAAGATTCGAGGGATCCTTGGAAATCTCGAACGCGAAGCCCACTCACGAAGAAGGGTGTAAACTTTTGGAAATTTCTGCGTAGAATATCGAATTCGTTATCCTTGGAACACACTTAACGTCGAGTCGATGGTAGAGGTATTTTAATCGACGGGGCAATTCGTATAATCGTTATGTAATTACGGAACTGGCAAGTGAATTTTCGAACTCGATAACACGGCGCGATAAATGTCACTCGTTACGTTGAAAATAGAAATCTTAATATTATCACGAGATATCGGTAATTTACAGCACGGCAGATCCTTACCATGTCGCGATAGAACAATTTCGTTCACTTTCACCTCGTCACCGTTGTATTTTGCGGTTTATTAACTGTTAACGCAACTGTCACTTCGTAGAACGAGTTACGACAATCCGTAGACACTTGGTCGACAGATTTCCCAAGGTTACGATCGTAGCTGATGTTAAACCGACTGACGAGTCCAGACGGGCCGATTTAACTAATAGAAAGTGCAGTACAACCCCCGAGAAAATGAATTTTGCGAAGGCGGAGCGCAGGCCTCATGGGTGGAGCTCCTCTCTGGACCGTCCCATACTGTTCCATGCGTATCCAGCATCCCCCCAAACACCCTTAGGTCGCTGTTAGACCCCTAGGTACCACAGTCGAATGCGACGAAAAGAAAGAAATATCGATTGTCCTTGGTTCGGCGTGGAAAACATTTTCCAGGCGCGAGTATCGTCATAAATATTGCATGCGCGAAAAAATGCAAATTTTAATTTAACTAAAACTTGCCTTAAAATGATCCTAAGCTTCTTATATCGTTCATCATATTAAGTATTTCCTCTCATTACTTGAAATTTCGTATTGGACATAAATGAACGTGAAAATCGATATAGGTAGGAGATGATAGCAAGTTAAATCGATCGTTACAAATATTTGCGATGACATATACACGTAGGTGAATAAAGCTGTCTGATATTCCACATTAATTTAATACCGAAGCAGTGAAACCTTCTACGTCGAGAAGTTTCTATTTCCCAAGTTCCCAAACAATTAGATTCTTATTAGCTGGATGGCACGGACTCGACGAGGGGGATGGCGAGGTGTAAAAAAAGGGAGCCTTGTTTAATATACATTAGGGGTGAGAAGCCCCGGCCGTTGTCAAGTGGCCACCAGCCACGAGCTGTTTTATTGTGACACCTCAGGAGGGTGCTACAGATTTTCCAGCGGGATGGATCGGAGGGTGTCATCGTGCGATCCCGATTAAATGATTAAATCTGCGATCGTGTTCATTCGAGCGCTATTACCGGCCAATCTGCGTGGGAGCTAGCTATAATTTCGGCTGAGTTTAGAATCACTATTCGAACGTCTAAAACGTTCGTGACAAAGAGAATACCTAATCTAGACGTTTCATTATTGCGTCATCGCGTTGTTACAAGGTATCGTTTAAAGAAAATATTAAATAAACGACGAGATACGCGAAGAAGATTATCAAATAATTGGACTACTCGACAAAATTGAGATTCTTTTCGTTAATCACGAAACATCGTTATTTCGTGTAATGCAATGTTATTCGACTGAAACAATCGACTTGCACGAAGAACATTGCACAGCAGATGAATGGCTCGAGACAAAAAATGAAGTTCAGTTCGCGTTTGATAACGTTGACGATTAGATAAGGCACGAGTCGATGTTGTTTGTCGTTTAATTGTGTGAGAGGCATCTTCGAGGCAGATGTTAATGGATGAAACAGGAAGAAGGTGGAGACAGATTTAGTCACGAGTCCCTATGCATATGATGACGCATCGATAACGAAGGAACTTCGTCGAAACTCTTTCTTGACCATTGTTAAACCGAAAGCTAGAACAAAGAATTATAGCTACGACAGAGAATCGTGCAATTTTTCGTAATTTTGCAAAGACGCAAACAGGAGAAAAGAACACAGGAAAGTGAAACGTTTTCGCAAAGTACCGGAGCGATCTTGTGAAAGCGATTTAAGAACGTATATCTTTTAATGCCGCTATTAGGATCCCGCTTTTTAACTTTATCGACACCTCAATCTGAAAATAAAAGGCGTATGAAATGACACGTGCCTCACCCTGGAATGGAGTCGCGTGCCTTATTCCTAGTGCCACCCATTCGAGGGGTGACTTTTTTTCATTCTTCGTTAATCCATTATTGCGGCCGCATATGGTGTGTGATACTTCTGCGACAGAGCAATGCGGTAAAATACGAATAAATAACGTCGATGCATATCTGTACACACGACGAATTTGTGTTTGAAACTTTGGAAAACGAAGGGTACGAATTCATGGGTCTCTCGATAAATTCCCAATCTACAAAAACCCCCTAAAAACGCAGTTAGAAAACCTCCTATGGGGTGTGGTTTGTAGCGGTTTCCCACAGGGTTAGCAACATACAGCTCAATTTGCTCGTGCCAACGCATACGAATTAGGTATTAGCATTATCTCCCGTGAAATACACTCCATGTGGTCATCGTATATCGATAAAATCACCAGGTATACGTGTATTAAAGGTACTTTAAAAATCGTAATTAATAGTTCGTAATTCGACTAAACCTATGAACTCTTGCTTAAATCTAATATAATTCTGAAGCAATTTGGGCTAAAATGGAAACAATAGACCTAACAATGAGCATTATTTTCTCGTTTTACACCCCTTGCAAACGATCACTATTAATCCCTTAACGACGAGTGAACTCGGTTTCAGTTTTACGTACATCCTTATGTAAAATCCCGTGTTAGCAATTTTCATCAGTGAAATTTCCATTTCTTTGTCACAGGAGGACGGGATTGCATAGATTGCATATCGACAAATATCGCGAGAAAGCCATGAACGATCGTGCTCCGAGTTACATAGCCATATACGAAATATAATGAGAAACCGATATCTGAAATCGGTGAAGTAGCATGGAAAACGAACCGGGAAGAGAATATGGTCGAGCACGTAGAAGAATTATCATCAGCAGGCTGTGCCAATAGAAAAGAGGCGTGTCGCCGGGTTTGCGCAGTGTCCCATGAAACGTCAACGCGTTCAAATAGGATCCCCATACCAGCCGTGCCTCAGGAGCACAACGATAGGGGTGGCGGGACGGCTCGAAGGGCACGGGGGTGAAATCAATTTTCGTTATCGCCGTCAACCAGCCGCCCCATATTAATTCCATTATTAGTGTTTGTTTTCCATGCGCGTCTCTTACCAGACAATCGTGGATTCATCTGGAGTCCAAATTCCGGCATACCTAACTCGAGAACGTCAGGAATTACTCATTCACTGCAGTCCGCATCTAAAAAAGGATACAATGCGATAAGAAAATGAATTTATCAAAGGTACATAAATTCCTCGCTCGGAATGTTCAAAATACACTGTACTTATCGTGCTTAACATCCGGCGTGAAGTTTAATTCCATCCGATCCATTAAATCCAAAAATCTGGAAAAATTCCACGATCCAGACAACGTATCAACGTCATCGAAGTGTTCTGCAAAGAGTATCGAGATGTTCCTGATTGCAATTTAGATAATACTCTCGTGCGATCGATTTTCCCTCGCGTCATACGTGTGTAATCAAAAATATCGTGTATAGAGATATATACGCATATTTTTCTTCGATCGTGCACCTCTGTCTGTCCCAAACAGCGAAAGCGGTAGAAAGACAGGAAGGCTTGTTTTTCTTTGAAATTGAGTCTCTGTTGTTACAAGAGAAGACAGATAAGATATCCTTTGGTAATATTCCAAGATGAGTATCGAGCAAGGACGTCCGCTACAAGAACGACGAACCGTGGGTGTCGGTGAATTCGCTTCAAAAAGTCATTGAAGCCACGGAGACTGCGCCAAGCACGAGTGTTCAGTGCTGATAAGGGATGCTCCGCCCTCGAAACCCCCAGAATCGTCCTCTCGCACCCTCTCAGTCATGGAATCGCAGGGTCAAGTTGTCGGGAGTCCCTTGCATCGGCATGAAGTATTAATCTGATGGATTAGGAGAACAGATAGGATGGAGATTAATTTTTAAGATGTTGAAAGACGTAAAGGATTACCCTGAGACGCTTAATTAGCATCGTTTCGGTCACGCTATCTTTTTTCGTGGGGAAACGCAGTTCGTTACGAAGTTCCTTTTTCCATATTCCCCATTGATCGTGCTGCTTGGGATAAAAGTATACGATGAAACGCCCGATGTGGTTGCACAGATTTTTTTTATTGAAAATATAAACCTTCTGTACAGTCTGTATAATTAATCTCATAACGAATTGGAATTGTGGTAAAAATGTTAATGTATAAACATATACTCGTGTAATAGTATAGTAACGATAAAAGTAATAAATTAAAATAGATTTGATTGGAATAAATAAAATACACAAATAAGAATAAACAGTCTGGAATGATTCGTGTATGGTAACACCTGATTTGTACGATAAATTTTTTCAATTTGATGCTTGAAACAATGGAAAATTTTTACCTATCGAGATAATGATAGATCACAGAGATCAGTCAGTTTTTTTGGAGGACTGTTAATAACACTTAAGGGAACGATTTGATAGAAAATCATCGATATCTATCAAAATTATGTCGCTAATTGAAGATAAAATATAACACAACAAAATAAATTTTTTCACTGATAAAAGAAGAGAAACAAAACATCTCACTATTCATCGACGTATCAAACATACATACATCGCATACTATAAAACCTATAATATATATTAACAATATATATATATACATACATTTGAGATGACCTAAGAGCGTTGAGCGTTATCAATAAACACCTATACTAATTGCAATTAGTAATTTGTCAGCCAGTTTGTATCACATACATTTTTAACATAGCAATATACCAATAAATTAAATTATAACGCTAATTAATGCCCTACGCTGCACTATCATATAGAAATTTTCCATGGAACTATCAATAAATACTTCCCTTCGACTTTGATTCGCTATCACAAACTTAACACACATTATAACTGCCAATGAGAAGAATCACATAGGTAAATGAAAAGAAAAGAATACTGTCGTGTTATCACCATTGTAACAATGGTTTGTCTTCACGCTATTGATCGTCTTCGACTCAAAAAATATTTACAAGTGAGCATTTTTTAACGAGGGTTTCCATAAAGAGATTAAAATACTGTCTTTTCCTTGTCTTGATTCATCGTATCGTCAGTGAAATGCAAATACAAGAATGAGCAAAGGAACCGATATGATACATAACAAGTAAATAGATGTTCTAGGCTCGCACGTTGATACTACCACGTATTCTTCGTTCCACTGTGAGTCATTGCCACTCAATGGCAACTCCAAGACTGTCCTCTCGTTGCTAAAGATCTTGAAGGGCAAAGAACATTCCGCTGTGCTGTTCTTACAGGCATGTACTGGATTCGAGATATTGTAGACGGTCTTCAGGAGGTCGAAACGTACTCGTAGGTAATTGGGCTGTATCTCGTTTTCAGAATTGAAAACGAAGAAATAGTATCCATTCATAGGTACCCTAGAAAATATATTACATTTTTTAAGAATCGTTTATTTTATAAAATTTATAAAATTGTTGAACGCAAAATAAATACGTATCTCTTCCACTTTTACTTGACATTTTACTCGTTATAAATATTAAACTGAAAATTATTTGATAGAAATTATATTTTTAACTATACATTGATAGCATTTATCCTTTTTGATAACCCAATCGTGACACGGAAACTAGCAAAATTATCGACAAACATAATTTTATATGATGATAATAAATTACTTCGAATTCAAAAAAATTCCTTATTATCTAAACAGTTATCTCCCAAGAGTTAAAAGCTTATCTCTACTATCGCTTCAAGTGTTCATAAATATTTATAGAAGTTAGAGTACCTATACGTAACCGTGTTAGCAAACGAGGCGGTCGAATGTTCGCTCTCATGTTTCGGCGTACAATATCGATGCGGTGTTAAAGGTAAGTTCAGAATCAGTCCCTTACAATCCAAAAGTCGTTCTTCGGAGCTACTAAATGAACTCCAAAATTCGGAATTACTCCTATCGTTCAATGTCGTCTCGTTCACAGTGCCTCTATCTTCAGCTATCCCATCTGGATGTAACATATCCTGTTGTATAAGCAGAAATAATATAATACGATAGAAATATTATTAAATAAATTAAGTAACTATAATGTTTCAGTAATATTCTATGAATCTTTTTACGTCGTGGTAACTCTGATGTGAATTTTGAAACAAATTCCATTCGTTCTCTTGTAAACAATGTCTTTTCTTTAATCGTCTCATAATCCCAAATCGTTTTGTTCTCTTTGATATCACGCGATAAAACATTGAACATTTTCAAACAGAAGATTCGCGTTTCTTACTTTCCTAAATGAAAGCAACCCTGGCAAATATTAACATTGTCTCGAAAATATTCCGATAAGAAAACTCGTATACATTTCTGATGGAAAGTCACATGAGTAAATTACAAATATCACAGTGAGGGTAATTATGTGGCTTACTAATCTTTAATGAGGGCAATACGAATATCTGAACGTGTCTATCTCTATACGATAAAGCATCGATTGCGATCTACTAAATTAGACTGTTATCGTCGACGTATTTGACGTCGAGCTAAGTATTTACAAATCGACGACACTACACTATCTAGCAGCCAACAATAATCTGAACTAAATTTAATCTGAACATAAGTCAGCGATTAAAGAACATCTCGCGACATTAGCTTCCTTCTTCATCTTAATTGTTTCGTAACCTTATCATATATAATATTGTATGCAGCTCTTTCTTATCGGAGCTTCGTTGAAAATCTGCTTTTGAGGATTTAAATCCACGGAAAATTTTCTACAACCTTCCGTAGCTTAATCTTGAACAGCTTAGAATTTCTTTTACCTTTCTAATGTCAATACAACGATGATACGGTTAAATATGTTCTGAAACATGTTACTCTACCTCTTCGACAGCAGCATCGTCGTCTTCACTTTCTTCCGTTAATTCCTTATGAAGAGACGAAGACAAGATTAAATCTCTTCGTTTTCTACGTTTCTCGACATCCGAAAGCGTTTGATCGTTCATAGTTTTGTCCACTGCTTGCCGTAAAGCTTCCCCTTCGGAACCTTTCTTTTCGATCTCGTCCATTAATTTTTTCAGTATCTTTTTACCCCGATAACCCAAAGAATTAATCCTGCCTAAAACATCACGAAACACTTCCGCCGACGTAGGTTCTGATCTTTCCGTTGTCTCCTCGGGCCTAACAGTCGTTTTCTCTTCATTTGTTTGATTGTGTTGAACATTTTTAAGCTCAAGTTTCCCATGTTTTTCTATTAATTCTGCTATGTCAATTGTAGTATTCACTACATTTAGCTTTCTTAGAATGTCTTTGGAAGTTTTAGTCAATTTATTTTCTATTTGTTCATTCCTAGTTTCCTGCGTATCGCTAGGAGAATATTGGGTCGGTGGTTTGTCGATATTATCCATTTCAACGAAGGTACCTTCGTAATGGTGGTGAGGATTTTCCTTCTGCTTTTTTTTCGTATCGAGCGTTTTAGCAAAGAGTTCTGTAAGAATAACTTTCATAGCCTTAGCATCCAATTCGTGACTATTGTAATGATGCGCCATTGTATCCATCATATGTTTCGAACTGTTCAAGAGATGAGCGTGATCCTTGTGATGAAATTGTATTCCTTGCTGTACCCTCTTCATCTTTTCCGGCTCATTGCTAGGACCTTCGTTCTACAAAAGATATATAAACTTTTTTTTAAAGTTTCTTAAGATTTTTGTATATTAATACCGCAAAGTTAATAAAATATACAAAAAATACATTTTATAACACGATTAAAAATTAAAATACTTATACTGTATTTATTACCGCGAGTGAACCATTCGGCGTAAGGAAACCGGTCTCTTTGGCAACTTCCAGAAGTTCTTCCAATTCTTCGCTACTATCGTCACCGATGAAGGCACATTCGTGAAGATGCTTATGACCACGAATCATGGTTAAAGAAGCACCAGGCCATCTATCATAAAACGCACGAATTTCTTTCTTAAAAACGTATTAAAAAAATTTCTTTTTTTAAAAGAATATTTTCCCAATTATATCCTTTGTTATAACTTCTTTTATTTTTATATTAATATTACCTGACGCAAGTGGCAACAGTAACGCTGCTTCCACGTAGCAGATAGAATCCCCAATATTCCTTCATGTCGTCTTCTAAAATCAAATGTCTCGTCATAGAAACAGGCAAAACCTCGTTTTCCAATTTTGGTTCATCATTCATCAGATATGCGTTAAATGTGGCATTAACTTTGATCACTTGACTCTGCGAAGCATTGTTTATTTACAATCGCATTATACATTGAGAATTTCAATAAGCCGCCAAACAGATTAAAAACACAATAAAAATATCTGGAGATAAAACAAAAATTTATTTACCTGACACCACGTAGTAGACACTTTCGCATCGATAAGCCTCTGATCGGAGACGGTTAAAGGGTACAGTTGCTCAGAATAGACGCGATATCGTAAGTACATCGGCCCCGCCACCAATACTGCGGGAAGGAACATTCCCAGTAAACATAATCGCAATAATCTCAGAGGCACCTTGTACTGAGACCTACGAGGCTCCCAATCTCTTGGACGAACACCGTCCTCTACGAATTGCAAAACTCTTATGAAATACTTTTGATCCAATGATTGTTCAAAATTATATAGAGAAACGAGTGGCGTCTAGTAAAACGATTAATTATAATACAGAAAAAATTTTCTATTGTTCACAACAAAAGTGGTTAAATATTTCCACTTTTTTATTACGCCAAGTATTTTTTATACTTTACAATATTTGAAACATTCTTTTTACTAAGAAGCTTGAAATTACTTATTACATAAAATACTTTTGATGTTAAGGTAAATAAATAAATAGTTCGCAAAAAATGCTTGTTTATTTATTTATTAGATTACATGAGCATTACGAGTAATTTAATCAGATGTATTCAAATATCTTAAGTCACGCTAAATTATACAACGCGATTATTGCTTTGTCGCATTGTCGTATGACAATTGTGCGTCAGTCATATTTTCGTTACTCGGCATT